ATTTTTAAATTAACAAGCCTAAACCACCTGAGGCACTTGGTCGCATACCCATTTACATCCGAAAGCCATCGCCAGATGATGATGATCGTAAACGTCCTGTACGTGTTTATGTTCCTGCTGCTCGCTATTATGCGCGACGATTTCGTATGTTTACTGATGATTTACCTATCTTTCAATGTATTCGATGATTTTCTTTTGTAGCTATGAAAGGTCCATTTTTAAATTTCATGCTTTCGACACCTATCTATGCCAATCGAGCAACTCAAGAAACGATTATTTATTCACCGTCACGAGGTAAATAAAATTGAAATACAAAGAAAATATTTATTCTAAGATGATTTTAGTTTACATTCTACCTGCACTGACCGATGGCCGTGGCAAACTATATTCGATTGCCAGACTTATTGCAACAGGTTACGCTAGTTTCACCGAGAAGGAAATGCATTCATCCAAGTCAATTGATGTGAATACTTATTTTGAATCAAGCGCAGGTCTGTTGTCTTCCAGAAATTCTCATCTTATATTAATCTAGTACATTATAGTTACTGGTGCTCGTGTTCCAAAAATAGATATTCAAAGAGGTGGTTTTTCGAGTGGTCTCCGTGTCAACGTTGATTCTTTTGATATTTATGGCGATGAAGACATGAATGATGATAGTGACGAGAACTATGAAGAGGATAATGATAAAAACAACAAGCATCATCATACATATGACAAAACACGTCACCGGAATATAAGTAATATACATTTACTTTAAGTTATCTCGTCCAAATAGAAATAAAATCTAAGCAATCGAGTAGGTAAATTTTATCGATAGACTGAGAAAATTTTGGAAAAAATTCAGCTTAGATTGATACTCGTTTCTAATCTTTATCAACATTTGATCATTTAATTAGTTTTAAAAACATAGAGTATGCATTAATGTTAAGCAAAGACACTCTGATCTTCTAGAACTATAATGTTTTTCATGTCATGGAAGTAATTTGTTTTCTTTGAAGGACCACCACACAAGACAAAACCATCAAACAGAAAGACCACGAGTGTATCAACATCAACCAAGAAGACCATAAGTGGATCAACATCAACAAAGAGTAAGTACCATGTGAAGGAATTTTGAATCTTTTTTGTAACGTACAAATAGAAAATATTGAGTGCAAACGAAACTTTTTTACGCTGCGTCTAGTTTACTCATTGATTCTAATTACAAACCTCTGATAAATGCAAAAGATGAGTTTTTTGAAAAAAGTGTCATGGTAAAAGAGAATGTTCGATGCACAACTTTCTCTCTGTTTATTTGCTGAGTTAGGAATGAAGATATTTGATACAAAGAATAGATCTGTTATTGAAATTATATGAAATTAAAATGAAAAATATGAAATTTTGCATTTGTTTAGAATCAGTTCCACAATACGATCATGCTGATGTTAATTTTACATTGATTATCGAGTACATTTTTCCATATCCTCAATCTACAAAACCTGTTATTGGCGTTAACGGTACATCTCCTGGTCCATTGATTGATGTGTTCGAAAATGATACAGTTATAATTCGAGTTATTAATCGATTAGATGTTCCTTCAGCCATTCATTGGCATGGTGTTCGACAATTGGGTACACCAGATATGGACGGTGCTACTGGACTAAGTCAGTGTGCTATACCTCCAGGACATGAAATGATTTATAAGTTTCAAGCAACACCAGCAGGATCAACATGGTATCATGGACATCTTCTTGAACAACTCACAGACGGATTATTTGGACCATTAATTATTCGTCGTCGCCCGGAATCATATTCAGATTTGTATCAAAGTGAACAAGTACTTACGGTCGCAGATTGGTACAATATTCCTGCACACACGGGACTAGTTCCCTGGCATTATGATCGCCTAACAAATCCTTTTGGTCTTCCTCCTCCACCAGATGCTATTGTGGTAAATGGTAATTTTACTCAGTCGTTGTTCATTCCAGTTAATGGTTCAGAAGTTATTCGATTCCGTATAATAAGTGCTGCTGCATTCTCAATGTTTACAATATCAATCGATGGCTTACGGTTATATATTATTGAAGTCGATACAACAACGACTATACCTTATGCAGTCGATTCATTTACAATAAATGTTGCCCAACGTGTTTCATTCTATGTTAATTTGACCGAGTTAGCTTCAGCTTATAATTCATCCGGTACCCCATCAATTTATATACGAATACAAGCTATTGAATCGGTCTATGCCCAAGACGTTCCTAATTTTATTCCTCCGTACGAAAATCAGTCTTATCCTTATCCAACTTTCTTCAATTCATTGTATCTTGCCTTTTTATCACTTGATTCAACAAATTCAAAACCAACATATGCAGCTAGTTCAGCGACTCCAATCCTATCGAATGTTGTTCCTCCACTGGATACAAATATTCTAGATGCTCGACCTCTAGTTCGAAATGGAGACGGAATTCCAGATGCAACTCATTATTGCTATATTGAAGTTACATTTGGTGCGGCATCTAATGGATTCGGTGCTGCATTTGTGAATAACGTCACATATACTTCAGATGCAAATTATATGCATATGAGAGATGATCCACCAGTGGGATTCACTTCAGATTTATATGAACCATTACTCTATCAAATGGTCAGAAAGGCTGGTCAATTAGCAATTCCATCACCTCTTCTAGAAGACGGAAACGATTTGCTAGTCATCCAAAGTGATCAAAATGGCCATTTCTTAATCCCTTATCAAGCTTGTGTTTATATTCTTATAAACAACACAGCTGGTGGTGAACATCCTTTTCATTTACATGGCCATAATTTTTGGATTGTCTCATCATCAGACTATCCCGAAGCTGAGACGCTGTATGCCGGAGACTATATTCAACGTGATACTGTCAGTGTACCAGCAGGCGGCTGGGCTAAAATTCTATTTGTAGCCGATAATCCTGGTGCTTGGTTCTTCCATTGTCACATCGAATGGCACATGGCAGATGGACTAGCTGTAGCTATGATTGTTGCACCTGAACAGCTTTTGACTAATGGTTATAATATTCCACAAAGTGGACAAAAACAGTGCGAAGCACTACAACGATTCAATACGACTTATGATCCTGTATTACCCTCAAATTAACTAACAAGAACAGCAATTCATATTTTATAGAACTCTTCATTTCTTTTTTGCAACAGAAATTTGTATCAATTTAAATATTAATCTATGTATTTTCTTAATAGGTAGACACCTTTTCAATAAATCATATTCTTATTATTAATTTTGTCTAAAGAAAAGAAGCAATTCATAGAATATATTACATTATACAGTATTTACTAACAGTATTTCAAACTATTCTGATTGTCTGATGAGATTCGTAACGAAATCAAACTGCATCATAATAGCTTTAGTATACATAAATCTTTGAGAGTTTTTCTTGGTCAATATTCTTATCTAGTACACTGATTCATGTTACAATGTGCAAGGAAAGAGAAAAAGAAGTCTTTTCTCTATATATCATCCTTCATAAAACATTTTTTTCTCTTATCAGTATCATGTTATTTGCACTAATTGTGTATACTTTTATTCTTAAAAACGAATCACCTGTCAACTGAATATTCTTCGTGTCTTATCTAGCACTCGAAACATCCAGTAGCCTAATACAGAAAATGACAAATACCAAAAGGTAACAGTATCGAAAGTAATAATAAATATCAAAAGGTGAGAGTACTGAGAGCAAGGACAAATCTCAAAAGGTAAGAGTACTGAAAATAAGAATAAATATCATATAAAGACAAGAGACCAAGCCATCGTTTGGCTTGGGACATGGAAATGGATGTGAGTGTGGGTTGGGTGTTGATATGGTTGTGAATACAAGAAGTGTAAAACTCCTAAACCCACACCACTATTAAATAATTAGGATAAGCGCATATTTTTAGAAATACTTTTGGATCTTCTATGTAATTGTTGAAATAAAGTACGTAATTTTGCATATCAAACGTTGTATATTCTAGTCATAGAAGAGAAAATATTATTGTACTAGAATTAAAACTATCTCAAGATTCTATTTTCTTAATCAGATATTATATGGATAAGTCAAAGTGGAGATATTTTAAATTAGTACTAACTACTAATAAATATATGATTTCTCATCACAATCTACTGACAGATATTGCAGAATTTCAATTCAGATTGAGTCTTTCTTCAGCGAAAATTTATGTAGATCAATAGATTTCGTTCTTTCTTTTTATATTTGATATATAAAACGTGACAATTCAATATTATTATTTTTATTTAACACGTAAATATACGATTTTGATTTTTTGTTATCTTTGTTCAACTAAAGAATACTTTTAAAAGCATTAAATCAAAAAATAATAACAATAATAGTATCCAGTTCAAATAAATGATTCGAAAAGTTATTTGTGAGTTTTAGATGCAGTTATGAAGTTGTTGCTGTCAACATTAGTTTGATTTTTGTTAAGAACTTTGTATCCTCAATACTAGTTTCGAAGAAAAAAAATTTCGTCTCATCCCAATTTCCTAGACTATTTTCGAATACATCAATGAAATTCAAACAACAATTTGTAAGCAGACAATCATTTTATTATAGCGAATTTAAAACAGTTTTTTTAAAATAATTAGTATTGTGTAGTATTATTTATGAGGAATATGTGAAATCGTCGACGATAATGTGATATTGCATGTTTGAATTCTTTTTTATAAATTGGTGATGGTAGAACAAAAATTAAAAACATACATGTTGATGGTATAAATGAAAGAAAATAACCACTAAGATAAAACCATAGTAGATGAGTTGATTTATCACATTTTAAAACAAATGAAATGATTAAATGTGGTAACGTTAAAGTTATAATAATCATAGGGCTAATTAATAGATGTTTATGTTGTTTAATTTTAGTTACAAGATGTTTTTTGAAGCTAAGATTTTTTTGAGAAGTTGTTCGTTGACGAGTAGTTATTATAATAATAGTAGCAGCTGAAATAAAGTTAATTATTAATGGACCCACATAATGAAACATTATTAATGTAAAACTATATATTTGTACAAATGATGTATAAGTAACAACACACCAGCTTCGTTCTTCAGTTTTATCAGTAAAAACACGAAGGTCAATTATTTGTGGAATATAAATAGCAAAATTGCTTAAAATCACTGTTATAATAACATATTTAGCAACTCTTAAACTTTTCTGTTTATCAAAATTAATTCCTTGTCGTACGGAAATAATTCTTTCTATAGCGACGCAAGCATGCAGCCATTTATCTATATATAATATAACCTTTAGGAGTGGTTCAACAATTCGACAATTTAAAAGAAGAATAGTTTGTAAACCACGTTCTTCTAAAGTTAATTGATAAGACAGAAAAAGTAGCCAAAATTTCAATGTAAATAATATCATAATTGCTAATGAATTAATTGATGCAGTCAAAAGATAAATGCCACAGCCAACTTTTTGTGATGCTTCTCTTCGGAAAATTATCATTGATAAAATACAGTTAATGAGACCTATAAGAAATATAATCATTGTTATAACAGCACTCACTTTAACTGTAATAGGTTGTTGAGATAATATAACATTACGTTTAAACTCATAACCTAAAATTTCATCTAATGTTGAACCAAGAGCTTTTGCATAAAACTGACATTCATTACCAAAAAAGCATTCAGGACATATACATATTCTTGTCGATGGACAAGTTGGATGATCTTGTACACATTCTGCTTCATTTGCACAATATTTTTTTAATTTACATTGAAAACTTCTATCATGTTTAAATTCCATACAATTAGCATGATGTTCATTTGTACATAAGCATAAATAAGCTTCATCAATAAAACAAGTGAGATCATGATGCATATAACAAAGTTTATGAAAAAATACGATTCGTCGATATTGAGTCATATTCAATATTGTTGAATTTAATAAACGTTCAACAGGAATACATTCTTGTGACGAGCGAACTGATGTTGAAAGATCGATTTGTGGTAATTGTTGAATAACAGCAAGATAAAATCTATTATTAGCTTGAACAATGACCATGTGATATATCATTGAAATATAAAAAGTAACACTATGTTGAAAGAGTGTTAGTTTTTGTAATTTAATCGTAGTAATTGGATTTGATTGATTTGATAGTGTAAAGAAATAACCTACGACATATGCTGGAATATCAATACCAATCAGAGAAACATTAAGTCTTGCTTTTAAATCTTGACACTTGTCACCAAAATATCGATTAGGACAAATACATGTATAACGACTATTAGATTTGGTTACATCAGCTGGTACACATTTGCCATTATTTTTACAAGCAGCAATTGGACATGTTGATTTAAATAAACATCGTGAACCAAATTTATTTAATGGACATACACATATTGATTGATTATATGTAATTCCCAAATGAAATGAATCATGTGAACATATTTGTTGATTTATTGATATATTACAATGAATACCTGCCCATTTCGAATTGCATCGACAAAAATATTTATTCGTATTTAAATATTTTACACATCTGCCATTCACGCACGTCATTAAACAATTTGATGAATTATCCACTGTCTGATTTGATAGAATTAATGAAATAGCCAATCGATTGACAGGTAAGAAAAGAAAAGTGACAGGAAAATACCAACTTCCAACATATGTTATTTGAGTTGTTTCAAATGCATCGATACGTATACTATAATTATGAGAAATATTTTTTGGACGTTCTGGAAATAATAAATATCGATTTAGTTTTATACTACAACTTTGCTTTGTTATATAGACAAATTGATCATAAGAATGAATATCTTGTCGTTTGTCGATCTCATCAATTAACATAATAACAATAGCATAAGTAGTGTGTCTGTCAACTGAACTTATGTGTAATGTTAAACTAACTCGTTGATTCTGATATTGGCACAAATGACCATAATAACTAGGTGGACATTTACATTCATTATTAAAAGTATCATTTTCACTTCGAAGATGAACAGTAAGTCCACGATTACAATACCAGGAACTGTTCTGAATTATAAATGTAGCAGAATGTATAACTGATGGTTGATCTATTGGCCAATAAAAACTTTTATTGATAAAATTTTGTTCTAATGAAGGATACGTAGATAATGTTTGAATAGAAAAAAATCGAATTCGACGATTGTCTTGTTCACTTAGATCACAAAGAACTTGTTCAACGTCATTTCGATTATATACTAAATCATTCTTACAGTTAAAAACTTGAAAGATATAACAAAGTTCTCCTTCATCTTCACGACTTTTTGGACAATCTAGTTCATCATCACATAATTGAAATGATGATAAACATTCATTATCAGTTGAGCAGCGAAAGCGTGCTGATATGTCAGTTGGAGGATAAAGTCTTCGACATTCATGTTGTTCATCTGACGCACCGAAGCAATCAACATTGCCATTATTAACACGTTCAGCAGGTAAACAAGATACAGTATAATTAAAAGGATCTACACATGCGTGAGTTCCTGACGGGCATTTGCTGTGACCACAATTATCTTCATCTCGTCCATCCTTACATGCCCAATAACCATCACAACGTGAATACATATTATTACATAACCATATTTCACATCCTTCTTCATCATCATGTTTTATACCATCATGATCATTATAAGAGTATTCTTTGACACCATTACAAAAACGATCAAATGAAACGACTCCATATTCACCATGTAATAGACAAACTCCGTTTTTCAATATAGGAGACCAACATGTATTAGTTTCACCACATCTTACGCGATATTTATCATTAAGTTGACAGCTATGTTCATACGTCTCATCATCTAATTGAAAACAATCTATTTGTCTATCCCTGATACGACTTGTAGAGATAACTTTTGATGAATTTTGACATTTATATAATGATGAATAAATTGTAGAATCTTTTGTTTTGTTTTCATAACTAACATGATAAATTAAACATGGACGAAAATGTTGTTCAGTTGCTTCTATTATTTCAATCCAAGATTCCATGATATAATTCATTCTCAATTTTAATTCAGAAACATCTAGACAAGTCAAATTTTCACGAATTAAATCTGGTTTCATATGATGACATAATTGTTGATCATAGCAAATATAATTAGGAAAAAA